AATAGTTATATCTGTTACTTGTAGATGCCAATAGTTATATCTGTTACTTGTAGATGCCAATAGTTATATCTGTTACTTGTAGATGCCAATAGTTATATCAATTACTTGTAGGTGTCAATAGTTATATCTGTTACTTGTAGATGCCAATATTTATATCTGTTACTTGTAGATGTCAATATTTATATCTGTTACTTGTAGATGCCAATATTTATATCTGTTACTTGTAGATGCCAATATTTATATCTGTTACTTGTAGATGCCAATATTTATATGTTACTTGTAGATGCCAATAGTTATATCTGTTACTTGTAGATGCCAATATTTATATCTGTTACTTGTAGATGCCAATATTTATATATGTTACTTGTAGATGCCAATATTTATATCAATTATTGTAGATGCCAATTGTTATATCAATTATTGTAGATGCCAATTGTTATATCTGTTACTTGTAGATGCCAATATTTATATCAATTATTGTAGATGCCAATTGTTATATCTGTTACTTGTAGATGCCAATATTTATATCTTGTATGTATCTTCAGGTAAACTACCCATAGAAAGAGGCCAGAAGTTTAAACCTCAGAGTTTGGCGTATGAAAACTCTACAAAGCCAGTTGATTCCAAACTCCAATCAACTGTAATTTACACTTCAGAAGAAGGTTCAGGTATGTTTTATCTTACATATCCAGTATAAAGTATCTTAACGTTTAAAAATTTGGAACATGAAGACATGAAATGTACACATAATAAATTAGTATATCTTATTTAGAATTATAGTATGAGCACAGAATATCAAAAGATCATAAAAATGAGTGTAAGTCATTGGAAAAAAAAATATATTTTCATTTTCCTTCTTTTTTTTTTTGATGGGATAACTTTTTTTTTACTTCTTTGAACCGGTAGCTGAGACATCTGGTTTTCTATACTTTCTATTGTTTTTGTTCTTTTCTTTCCAAGTGTGTGAAAATCAACTTAGTTTTCATAAACATATCTTAATGAAAATTGGCAAACTTTAAAAGTATGTTGTACACAAAGAATTATTTCTCAATAAAGTATTTTTATTAAATATTTGTCTGTAAATTTTGGAAGCCTTTACTGAGACAGTAACAATGCTTCATCTTGCAATTTTAAGATATCATTTGCACCTTTTTTTTTTTTATTCCTGTAAATTCCCAGTGCAGCATAGAACTGCAACAACACCTCGCCAACGGAAGGTGTTGTTGCAGTTACTTGTAGCAGGTTGGTTTTTACGGGGTGGAATTGCTAGCCCCACTCCCAACCCTCCCCCTTTCTCATCCTGGACTTGGGACCAGACAAAGGCGAAGGTTGGCATGTTTGGTGTGACGGGGATTCGAACCCGCAACCCTCAGATTACGAGTCGAGCTCCCTAACCGCCTGGCCATGCTGGGCCTATTTGCACCTTTAGAACCTACTAATAGAATATTTAAAAAATTTTATCTTTTAATTTCTCTACCCTAACACTAACTGTCACAAAGTCATCAATATACAATGAAACGAAAAGTTGAAAATATGAAATAAAATTAATAACACTTTTTATATGAATACACTGTTTTTGAGAGTTTTGGTTTTCAGTTTGTTTATAGTCATCAATAAGCACGAAAAGCAATAACCGGTAGGATCGGGAGCCTATTACATGTTTGCAGTTGGGTTTTATGTAACAGCTCATCAGTTCACGCACGTGAACAACTATACAATTATGCTAATATAAATTTAGTTGTTCTATTTTAGAGAAATTTTGTTCAGATAAACTAGAAAGTTTATAACTTTTGTTAGAAAAATATAAATTAAATAAACACTAAGGTATTTAGCACTTGCTTCTGGTTTGAGGCTTTTTGCTATGAGCTCCATTAACCCTGATTTTTTATAACTTGGATGTCCAAGAAGTAATTAATGTAGCTTTCGTATATGTATTTCAAAACACAGAAATTAACTAGAATAGCATGTTCTTAAAATTACTGTAATTTATCTGGCTTTCTGAGTAAGCTGTAACTAGGTTTCTTAAATACTCGGACCACAGAATAGGCCTCATACACAACCAACAAATCCTATTGACTACGACTTTGAAAGAAGAAGTCATAAGATTTATGTAGATGAGGATCTGCACCTTCTATTGGTTATAAATATGTCCGTCAGCAATTTAAAGATGACCATATAATTCTAATGTAAAAGGAGAGCACATGACATAAAGACTAAGAATTTTTAAATATTTCTTTTTGAAATTGAGAACTCAAAACCTAGATCGTATAAAAATTTTAATTATAAACTTTGTTTTTATGCTAAGTTTATTAATAAGTTATTTAAATAAATTTTGAATGCAACTCTGTAAAAAATCATGACATGCACATTTTAACCCTATTGCCATGGGCGTCCTTTACTGAGCATGTCACAAGGTTTTTAATGACTTACGTTCAAAATGTTATTAATATACTTTTTCTTTGTTATATCAATTAGTATAGCATAAAATATTAGCTAATAATACATAAGTTTTTAATTTTAAAAGGTAATATTTAAAAAAATCCTGAATTTCCCCTAGTGTAAGAAATGTGACACATTTTCTCTAGGCATCTCCTCTTCTTTATTTTATCGACCACCACTCCAATAAGTACGAAATTCAATGTAAATTACTCGCTATAAAATCGTCATTGCTCAGACAAACCATAATTGTTATAGACTTCAATTTTGTTTGGTTACAGAGCAATCAAATAGACAATTAGACCCCTCTTGCCAAACCTACCTTTCACATCCTCTCTTTCAGGATTTGTTAATAATTCTCTCGTACGTTTAATTCTATATTATCTATAACCAATAGAAAGCCAAGGTTTTCATCTATTAAATGACATATCATATTACAAGCTTGGATGAATTTGTAATGGCTCTTGTCGCATAGTTAGAAAGCCAGAAAAATTGTGATAGTTAGAAGAAATTGTCTGCTTTTTGGTGAATTCTTTAATTAAATAAAAATTATTTAGTGCATTACTACCATTATTTTAATAAAAGTAGGGTTACCTGTCATCAACTGTCTTAAGCAACAATAAATAAGACTCAGGTAAGTACGTTATTTCTTATTTTTCATGTTTATTCTTTATTTATTATTATAAAAGTAACTAAAATGTAAAAATAGGGATCTCTTTAGGTTAGTTAAAATAAAGAATTTTCATGAGGCATGCACGTGAGCAGTTTGTGGGTAATGTAATTCGATAGCATAACGTGAGCTCTATATTCCCCAAGCGATTTACAACTTATAATGGCACGAATAGTAGTTAGACGTGGTTCAAAAGGCAATAAAACAATAAAATTTAAGTATATATATATATATATATATATATA